CTGCCATGGGCCCCCCTATATACTCTAGCCTCCTCATGCTGCTGCCAAGTCCAGGAGTCTCTCATGGGTCCCTGTACGGCCTCCCCTCTTGCTGCTGTCTACCATCGCCACCCCCCCCCACTACTGCCAGCCATGTGCCACTTTCAGGTCTCCTCACACACTGCTGTTGTGTTGAATTTTTTGACCATAGGGTGCGTGGCAGATTACGGGCGCTCTCCCATAGCTGCTGCCAGGCCCCCCATAATCTGCCATGGGCCCCTTCTATACCGCCTCCTCATGCTGCTGCCAGTTCCAGAGTCTCTCTCATGGGTCCCTGTACGGCCTCCCATTGCTGCTGTCTCCATCGCCCACACTCTGCCATGTGCCACTTTCAGGTCTTGATCCTCACAACTGCCTGGTGTGTTCAATTTTTTGGACATAGGGTGCTGCCAGATTACGGGCCTCCACATTTGCTGCTGCCAGGCACGTAAATCTGCCATGGGCCCCCGTACCGACTCTCATGCTGTGACGTTGCAACAAGGTGGAATTCAACCTACATATGTTAGAACCGCCTTTACGAACAGCGAAAGGCCATTCACACAGATTTCCTGATGTTAAAAAGCGGTTATAAAAAGGTACTCCCTGTGTTATAACCCTTAGATGTCAGCCATTGGCAGCTCCATGCGTGACACCCTGCCGCTTGCTCAGGCCCTTTGAGGGAGGTGGCCTCGGCTATTCGTGAGTCGGCAGGACTATGGCTTATGAACGACGTCATTCCTCTGTTGCACGTCTCCTGGAACAAACTGCTGTTAACAATGGCTGGTCAGGGGTTGCGGTAGACGTGGCGCAACAGATTCAACGCCACATCATGACCCTGTGGGGGCAGGGACAGGAAGAAGAGGAGGAGGTAGAGGAGGACATTGCGTGCTCAGGAATTATTGAGTGAAATGGGTGGTTTTTCCACTCAGCGGACAGGAGTGGAGGAGCAGGAGCATCTGGTAGAGGAGGAGGAAGGAGGAGACAGAGGACCCCGAGAAGAACGCTCCGTGGCAGTATTGCTGTGGAGGATGGAGGGCAGGGAATGTCACTCGCATTCCTTGGCACAAATGGCCCCATAGCATGCTTCGCTTGCTTGGCGTAGAGTAGGCCGAATTATAAACCATCAGACAGGAGGGATGTCGTTTGGCTGTCCACCTTGGTTGGACCCTCGCTTACCGGTCCAAAATGGTGGCCGTTTTTCACACCTGCTTGAGAGGGAGGCCAAAATTTCGTTTACCATTAAAACCCACCTATGTTAGTCAGTTGGTCTATGCCTTTGTGCGCCAACATCCATCCTCAGACACTTGTGGGGCCCTGTTGCGCTCGCGTTCCGCTGGCCACATGGGGCAGCAGGGGAAGGGGTGGGCGTGTAGTAGGAGCAGTGGCAAGCAGCTCCACCAGCAGCGGCTGCCTCAGTCTGCAGTCGATGCTGAGTCGCTTTCTTCACCAGCGCAGTGAGGAAACTACTAACCAGCCGCGAGAGCAGCAGCAGCAGCATCAGGTGGGACTGGAGCAGGAAGCTGACAAACAACACTGCTTGGGCCTACTTGCAGGACAGCACACCTGGCCCAACCGAGAGTAGACACATCCCCTTGACATACTGGGCAACGAAATAACTTGACATTTGGCCCCAAACTAGCTGTAATTTGCCCTTGAAAGGCTGTCTATGCCCGGCCAGTCGCGGTGGCATCGGAGCGCGTTGTTTCGTGCGGCGTGGCAGGAGGTTATTGCAACTCCGCGCGGGTGCGACACGTCTGTCCACCCAAAAAGTCGTGGAGAGACTCACGTTTGTGGAAATATGGAATCAGGCGTGGATTAGTCTGGATTTCAAAACCACCAGTTCCCTGACACAACTGACTAAATCCGCCATGAAGCCTGCCTTCTAAACATGTGCCACTTTTTCAGGTCTCCTAAACTCACTGATGGTGTGTTGAATTTTTGACTTAGGTGCTGCAGATTACGGGCCTCCTTAGCTGCGGCCAGGCCCCTAAATCTGCCATAGGCCCTATTATACCGCCTCCTCATGCTGCTGCTAGGTCCTGGTCTTCATGGGTCCCTGTACGGCCTCCCATTGACTTGGCTGTTTCCTTCGCCACAATCTGCCATGTGCCACAATTCAGGTCTCTTCACACTGCTTGTGTTGTAGAATTTTTTGACATAGGGTGCTGGCAGCATTGCGGGCCTCCCATAGCTGCTGCCAGGCCACTAATCTGCCAATGGGGCCCCTATATACTCGGCCTCCCTCATTGCTGCTGCCAAGTCCAGAGTCTCTCATGGGTCCCTTTGACGGACTTCCACATTGCGACGCTGTGTCGCCATCGCCACCACTCTTGCAATATGTTGCCAACATTTTCTCGGTCTCCTCACACACTGCTTGTTGTGTTGAATTTTTTTGACATAGGGTGCTGGCAGATTTACGGGCACTCCCAATAGATACTTGCCAGGCACCTATATCTGCCATGGGACCCCTCTATTACCGCCACATCATCTATGCTGCTGCGCCAAGTCCACAGAAGTCTTCTCATGGGTCCAATGTACGGCCTACCATTGCTGCTGTCTCCATAGCCAACACTCCTGCACCTAAAGGTGCACTCGTCAGGGTCTCATCACACACTGCTGGTGTGTTGAATTTTTTGACATAGGGTGCTGGCAGATTACGGGCCTACCCATAGCTGCTGCCAGGCCCCTAATCTGCCATGGGCCCCTATATACCGCCTCCCTCATGCTGCTGCTAAGTCCAGAGTCTCTCATGGGTCCCTGTTACGGCCTCCCATTGCTGCTGTCTCCATCGCCACACTCTTCCATGTGCTTCCACTTTCATGGCTCCTCATCACACTGCTGTTGTGTTGAATTTTTTGACATAGGGTGGCTGGCAGATTACGGGCCTCCATAGCTGCTGCCAGGTCCCTAATCTGCCATGGGCCCCTATATACCACCATGACCTCATCATGCTGCTGCCAAGTCCAGAGTCTCTCATGGGTCCCTGTACGGCCTCCCATTGCTGCTGTCCTCCATCGCCACACTCTGCCATGTGCCACATTCAGGTCTCCTTCACACTGCTTGTGTTTTCAATTTTTGGACATTAGGGTGCTGGCAGATTACGGGCCTCCCATAGCTGCTGCCAGGCCCCTAATTCTGCCATGGGCCCCTATATACCCGCCGTCCCTCCCTCATGCTGCTGCCAAGTCCAGAGTCTCTCATGGGTCCCTGTTTCGGCCTCCCATTGCTGCTGGTCTTCCATCGCCACACTCTGCCATGTGCCACTTTCAGGTCTCCTCACACACTGCTGGGTGTGTTGAATTTTTTGACATAGGGTGCTGGCAGATTACGGGCCTCCCATAGCTGCTGCCAGGCCCCTAATCTGCCATGGGCCCCTAGCATACCGCGCCATCCTCATGCTGCTGCCAAGTCCAGAGTCTCTCATGGGGTCCCTGTACAGCCTCCCATATGCTGCTGTTCTCCATCGGTCACACACTCTGCCATGTGCCACATTCAGGTCCTTCACACTGCTTGTGTTTTCAATATTTTTGACATAGGGGTGCTGGCAGATTACGGGCCTCCCATAGCGTGCTGCCAGGCCCCATAATCTGCCATGGGCCCCTCCGGTATATACCGCCTCCTCATGCTGCTCATGCCAAGTCCAGAGTCTCTCATTGGGTCCTTGTACGGCCTCAACCATTGCTGCTGTCTCCATCGCCACACCTCTGCCATGTGCCACGTTCAGGTCTCCTCACACACTGCTGGTGTGTTGAATTTTTTGACATAGGGTGCTGGCAGATTACGGGCCCCTATAGCCTGCTGCCAGGCATACCTAAATCTGCCATGGGGCCCCCTATATAATCCGCGCCGTCCTCATGCTGCTGCCAAGTCCAGAGTCTCTCATGGGTCCCTGTACAGCCTCCCCATTGCTGCTGTCTCCATCGCCACACTCTGCCATGTGCCACATTCTGGTCTCTTCACACTGCATGTGTTTTCAATTTTTTTGACATAGGGTGCTGGCAGATTACGGGCCTAACCATAGCTGTACTGCCAGGCCCATAATCTGCCATGGGCCCCTATATAGTCGACCTCCTCATGCTTGCTGCTGCCAAAGTCCTACTACAGAGTCTCTCATGGGTCCTTGTACGGCCTCCCATTGCTGCTGTCTCCATCGCCACACTCTGCCATGTGCCATTTTCAGGTCACTCTTCACACACTGCTGGTGTGTTGAATTTTTTGACCACTAGGGTATGTCTTGGCAGATTACGGGCCTCCTATAGCTGCTGCCAGGGCCCCCTAATCTGCCATGGGCCCCCTATAATAACCCGCTCCTCATGCTGCTGCCAAGTCCTGAGAGTCTCTCATGGGTCCCTGTAAAGGGCCTCCCATTGCTGCTGTCTCCATCGCCACACTCTGCCATGGTATACCACTTTCAGGTCTCCCTCACACACTTGCTGTTGTGTTGAATTTTTTGACATAGGGTGCTGGCAGATTACGGGGCCTCCCATAGCTGCTGCCAGGCCCCTAATCTGCCATGGGCCCCTATTAATACCGCCTCCTCTTGCTGCTGCCAAGTCCAGAGTGTCTTCATGGGTCCCTGTACGGCCTCCCATTGCTGCTGTCTCCATCGCCACAACTCTGCCATGTGCCACTTTCAGGTCTCCTCACACACTGCTGGTGGTTTTGTGTTGAATTTTTGACATAGGGTGCTGGCAGATTACGGGCCTCCCATAGCTGCTTGCCAGGCCCCTAATCTGCCATGGGCCCCTATTATACCGCCTCCTCATGCTGCTGCCAAGTCCAGATGATCTCTCATGGGTCCATGTACAGCCTCCCATTGCTGCTGTCTCCATCGCCACACTCTGCCATGTGCCACATTCAGGTCTCTTCACACTGCTTGTGTTTTTCTCAATTTTTTGACATAGGGTGCTGGCAGATTACGGGCCTCCCATAGCTGCTGCCCAGGCCCCTAATCTGCCATGGGCCCCTATATACCGCCTCCTCATGCTGCTGCCAAGTCCAGAGTCTCTCATGGGTCCCTGTACGGCCTCCCATTGCTGCTGTCTCCATCGCCTACACTCTGCCATGTGCCACTTTCAGGTCTCCTCACACACTGATGTTGTGTTGAATTTTTTGACTTAGGGTGCTGGCAGATTACGGGCCTCCCATAGCTGCTGCCAGGCCCCCTAATCTGCCATGGGCCCCTATATACCCGCTCCTCATGCTGCTGCCAAGTCCAGAGTCTCTCATGGGTCCCTGTACGGCCTCCCCATTGCTGCTGTCTCCATCGCCACACTCTAGCCCTGCATGTGCCACTTTCAGGTCTCCTCACACACTGCTGGTGTGTTGAATTTTTTGACATAGGGTGCTGGCAGATACGGGCCTCCCATTAGCTGCTGCCAGGCCCCTAAGCATCTGCCATTGGGCCCCTATATACCGCCTCCTCATGCTGCTGCATGCTGCCAAGTCCAGAGGTCTCTCATGGGTCCCTGTACGGCCTCCCATTGCTGCTGTCTCCATCGCCACAACTCTGCCATGTGCCTCTTTCAGGTCTCCTCACACACTGCTGGTGTGTTGAATTTTTTGACATAGGGTGCTGGCAGATTACGGGCCTCCATAGCTGCTGCCAGGCCCCTAATCTGCCATGGGCCCCTATATACCCGCCTCCTCATGCTGCTGCCAAGTCCCAGAGTCTCTCATGGGTCCCTGTACGGCCTCCCATTGCTGCTGTCTCCATCGCCACACTCTGCCATGTGCCACATTCAGGTTCTCTTCACACTGCTTGTGTTTTCAATTTTTTGACATAGGGTGCTGGCAGATTACGGGCCTCCCATAGCTGCTGCCAGGCCCCTAATCTGCCATGGGCCCTAAATACCCCTCCTCATGCTGCTGCCAAGTCCAGAGTCTCTCATGGGTCCCTGTACGGCCTCCCATTGCTGCTGTCTCCATCGCCACACTCTGCATGTGCCACATTCAGGTCTCTTCACACTGCTTGTGTTTTCAATTTTTTGACATAGGGTGCTGGCAGATTACGGGCCTCCCCATAGCTGCTGCCAGGCCCCTAATCTGCCATGGGCCCCTATATACCGCCTCCTCATGCTGCTGCCAAGTCCAGAGTCTCTCTTGGGTCCCTGTACGGCCTCCCATTGCTGCTGTCTCCATCGCCACACACTCTGCCATGTGCCACATTCAGGTCTCTTCACACTGCTTGTGTTTTCAATTTTTTGACATAGGGTGCTGGCAGATTACGGGCCTCCCATAGCTGCTGCCCAGGCCCCCTAATCTGCCATGGGCCCCTATATACCGCCTACCTCATGCTGCTGCCAAGTCCAGAGTCTCTCATGGGTCCCTTGTACGGCCTCCCATTGCTGCTGTCTCCATCGCCACACTCTGCCATGTGCCACTTTCAGGTCTCCTCACACACTGCTGGTGTGTGTTGAATTTTTTGACATAGGGTGCTGGCAGATTACGGGCCTCCCATAGCTGCTGCCAGGCCCCTAATCTGCCATGGGCCCCTATATACCGCCTCCTCATGCTGCTGCCAAGTCCAGAGTCTCTCATGGGTCCCTGTACGGCCTCCCATTGCTGCTGCCAGGAGGCAGCAAGGTCGCAAGCAGTGTCAGTGGAGGCAAATTACGGCCACGGAGGTAGCTGCACCAGCTCCACTGCAGCCTAGAACCACCACGGCCAGTAGTGGTGCCGGTGTGTAGGCACGGAGGAAGTAGCAGTCAGCCAGTGAGGAGTAGAGGAGGCAAAGTTTCCTACTCTGCGGTGTGGCAATTTTTCGTCAAGCCGGCCCGAGGGAAAGTAAACGTAGCCGTATGTCGACTATGTGGCCAGAAAGTCAAGCGTGGCCAGGGGGCCCATGTTAGTGGGACTACAGCGTTGCGTCAGGATATGCAGCGTCGCCATTCGGTGGCCTGGGAAAACCGTGATAAAGATAACGGCGGTTCTGCCTGCCCCAGCCCCCAGGGTTCCATTTTGTCATAGGGCTGCTGGCAGATTACAGGCCTCCCATAGGTGCTGCCAGGCCCCAAATCTGCCATGGACCCCCGTACCGCCTGGTCACGCTGCTGCTGCTGGGCCCACAGTGTGACCATGGGTCCCTGTACCGCCTCCCATTGCTCCCACTCTGCCATGTGCCACTTTCAGGTCTCCTCACACTCCTGCTGGTTTCCATTTTGTCATAACAGCGAATTTATTCGACTCGAATCGAATATTGTCCACGAATTCGCCGAATCAGTCGAATCGAATTTTTCATTTCTTCGCTCATCTCTAGTTGTCACCACCCTGTTTGGCTACCAAATATACCCAAGGGGCAATTTACACGAATCAGGAGAAATTGTACTAATATTGATACTTATTATGCCCAAGCCTCCATTATAAGGGACAAGTTCATTGAAAAAGGATATAATGAGCTGATGTTAAATCAAATACTGGATGAAATTGGTAACAACAACAGAGAAGAGATTGTTAGTGATACTGTGAAACAAAAACAATAAAAAATTTTCCTGTTCGTCACCAATTTTTCTATTCAATACAAAGCCATCACTAAAATTATTAACACTAATTTGAAAATTTAAAATCAGACCCAATTTTAAACTGCATTTTACCCGAAAAAAGCAGAGATTAGTTTCAGAAAAGCCATGCCCTTGAGAAACAGAATAGCCCCGAATATAATCAATCCCCCTAACAACACTAGCTGCTTTTCAGAAATGAAAGGCTTTTTCCCTTGCCGTAAATCTGTAGATGTAGTAATTATACCAAAAAAGTAGACTGTTTCAATTCCACCACAAAAGGAAACACATATAAGATTGAAGATTTTATTACGTGCAATAGTAAACACGTAGTCTACTTGTTGCAATGTCCCTGTAAGTTGCAATACATTGGTCGTACTACGAGAAGGCTTAGAGACAGATTAAGGGAGAATGTTAACAACATCAAAAAAGGGTTCAAAGAACATTCCCTGTCCTTGCATTATAGGACTTGTCATAATAGAGACCCTACCTCGCTCATCTTTATGGGCATTGGAATTATAAAAACACATTGGAGGGGACTCAATAAAAAACGTGCGGTTTCGCAACTAGAATCCAAATGGATTTTTGAACTGGACTCTTTACATCCTAAGGCGCTGAATGTAGATTAGGACATTAATTGTTTTATAGATAATAGTTAATAAATTTCTGAATACTATTGTTGCAAACGTGCGCAACAGAGACTGACGCAGACTCTTGCTAAGGGTATCCATTTCTCCTTTATCCTTCCCCTACCCCTCCCTCTCACTGAGAGGAGACATGTGGCCAGTGTGTGTGTGTGTGTGTGTACTGTTTATGGGTCACTGGCTGGCCAAGGCATCTCTAGCTTGGTGCCGAGCTGTCTGTGAAAGCTGTATCCTTTCTCACCTAGGAAGAGATAAGGCCAGCTTTCCCAAGAGAGTTGGAGTCTCACTGACAAAAGTACCTGTGTAATTTCACGCCTAGTAAAAGGATAACTGAGCCTTCCCAAGAGTTGAAAGGGACTCTGAGCTAATAACCTAGCTCAGCGTAGGTGACAGAATTGGATGAACACTTCTCAAATCAACTTTTCCCCTGTGTCTCATATCTTGGAATATGAGAGACTTGCATAAAAAACGAACACCTCGTCAGATGGCCATTGAGCAGGCGAACAGTATGATGGGTCACTCGCTTATCTCGGACCATCAGGGAAGCCGAAACATAGAACTCGTGAACCGTGCAATATATAATTTCATAATTCATATCTAAATAATCCTCAGACTTGTCTGCATAATAATATACCCGCGGGTGGACTGTCGCTTGTGCAGATGGAAAGTTATGGACCAGAATTAAGAAAGATGTGGGCTCCAGTCTAGGGTTCCGCCTTACGATCCCTCCCTAAACAGGGGATTGGTCTTTTACTTCAGAACCACCCCCTGCTGGGAAACTTTAAAACAGGCTGGCAAGCCTAAGAGTAGTTGGTTGAAGACATCTCCAATTTTTCTATCGTAACATAGGGAGATCAAAGTACGCTTCTGCTCTGCAACTTGATCTGCGTACATCCAAGGCTTATTGGCAAGTACCTTAACCCTTTAACCTCTCCGTTATCTCTTTGCTGTGCTGTTTTCTGTATATGTACAGTATATATATATCTTAGTTACATCATTTTCTGTAAATATTTTTATTGCACCCGTTTGACCTTTTAGTAATAAATCTTTCTTTCTGAAAGCGTTGAACTGTTTCTATAGCTCTTAAATGCAATTTATGACTCCCTGCCTTTAAAGAGAACGCTACTGTGTTTGTTTGAACCTCTGTATAACCGGCCTGCGGACCGTTTTATACAGACAATTACATCAACCATTATAATGTCATAGCTGAATGCCGAGTTTCCCTCTTTCTCTGATCAAAAAGGAGGTGATGGCAGTGTGAAGGGTTAGTTGCGTAATTAACCTGACCCAGTAACAATCGATTCAGGCTGCTGGCACATCAATCGGTACCCATTAGCTGGAAAATCGTTGTGCAGGGTACAGCTGGGTGTGGCATTGTTACGCACGTCACATCGCGGTTGTAGATTGGCTAGCCCTTCGGTCACGAGTTTGGTGAGAAGGTCTGGGGTCTGACGCCGCGATCGTGACAACTATAGTATACATTTTTAAACCATGCCGCATTTTCTGAGGGTCTTTTTAATATATATTTTAATATAGTTATATATACATATAGTTCTATGGAAATAATTTTAGAAATTCTTAGTCCTTCCTATTGTCTATTTATGTTTGTACACACGTGTTCACACACATTTTTCTTACTGAATTTTATATATACATGATGATTTTTTTATATGTGTTATCTACATATATGTTTTACATTTATATTTTATATTCTACTATTACACTTTATGATCTTAGCATGATGCTGATTTTTACTAATGTATGTATGTTTTAGCTTTTATTGGTAATTTTTGACTGCCAATGTGATTTTATGTTTTTATATTGCTTTACATATACATTTGTTTACCAGCACATACACTTTATAGAACATTCATAATTGATGTCCTAAATGGGAACACATGCTTCATTTTTTAATTTGGAAGTAAATTAATTTTAAACATAGATGAATTGAAGTATATTATTATTATTATTATACAGTATTTATATAGCGCCAAAGGGTTTGCTCAGGGCTGTACATTAGAATGGGGGACAAAACATGAGACAATACAGTAGCAAAACAATACACAATACACGAGGGTTAGAGGGCCCTGCCCTTTCGAGCTTACAGTCTAGGAGGGAGGGGATGGTGGTACAGGAGGAGATGGCTGTGGGGGATGGAATGGAGTGAGGAGTGGAGGGGATCGGCTGTTAGGTGAGGGTGGGGTAGGCTTCCCTGAAGAGATGGGTTTTCAGGGTGCGCCTAAAGGTGAGGAGGGTAGGAGACAATATGATGGATTGGGGAAGTGAGTTCCAGAGGATGGGGGAAGCTCTGGAGAAGTCCTGCAGTCGGGCGTGGGAGGTGGAGACCAGGGAGCTAGAGAGTAGGAGGTCTTGCGAGGAGCGAAGATTATGGGTAGGGTGGTATTTGGGTATCAGGTCGGTGAGGTAGTTTGGGGCAGCATTATGAATGGCTTTGTATGTCACTGTTAGTAGTTTGAATTTGATGCGTTGGGCAATTGGGAGCCAGTGGAGGGAATGACAGAGGGGGGGGCAGAAGTGGATCGGTTGGTAAGGTGGATGAGTCTGGCAGCTGAGTTCAGGATAGACTGGAGCGAGAATAGCTTGTTTTGGGGTAGGCCGGTGAGAAGGGAGTTGCAGTAG